AGTGGTAAAAATTTTATAGGTTATAGTTCAAAATGGTTTTCAAAAAATTTATAAAAATTACAAATTTTAAAAATAAATCATAAGAAATGGGTGAATTTTATTTGGAATGAACCTAAATTTTGAATTGTGAAAGGAAGAACAAATATATATATATATATATAAAGAAAGAGATATTAATAAATATATACCAAATTCAATTAACATTGAGGAGCTAAAATTTTGAGAGCTAATTTTTTAAAACTACTCATGCGATTTTTTACAAAACTTGGCAGTCTGGCATAATTTGAGTCTTGGAATCGAAATATGGAAAAAAATTGGTATGTTATTTCAGAAAAAGTCCGATTATGTGTCAAAATACCTATGTTAATGCTATATATAAATCTAATATATATCCTAAGTCGCACTTTGAAGAGATGAAAACCACAATTTGAATTTCGTCAATCGGCCCAGTAGAAACAGGAGGTCCCTTCTTTCTTTTTTTTTTGTGCAGTGTACTTTTCAAAAATCGTACGCAGATGACTTTCCTTCTATTATTTCCTCAAGAAAATGTAATACATTTGCGATGCATACCATTTGTTGTGGTGATTTTTTTATTTCCCATGGTGGAAGGGCCGATGTTCTGAAATATGTGGATACACAAGGACAACATAAAATCTCTTGGGGGGTGAACTGAAAAATTAAATTTTTCTATGGAAACAAAGGAGCAAAAAGTTAATAGCGCAGAACACTGTTCTGTGCCTTTTTACTAGAGCACAATCTGCAGCTTAATGCATTGGATCATGCTGTAGCTTTATTTAGAAAAATATTTCCTGACAGCGAAATTGCTAATACTCAAGTGCAAGGACTAAAAATGGCTGCAGTTGTTAAAGAAATGGGTATGAAAAATAAATCTTCAGTTATTGATTGTATTGAAACAGTTCCATTCTGCCTCTACGGAGGGAAGCAAAACTGCCAATTCAAAACTGTATCCAATTGTTGTTTCTTTTTTTTAATCCAGGATCTTCAGAAATTGAATTTAGTTTACTTTCTGTCCTCACTTTAGAAGGCCATTCAGTAAGCTTTAATATAGCACACCTAACTATTAAAAATTTTTAAGAAAATGCGATTCCTCTGGGTAATGCGTAGCACTTGGTGCCGATAATGCACCAGTAATAGTAGGTTTGAAGACTGGTATTGCAGACATCTTAAAAAAAGAAAAATTCAGATTTGTAAATTATGAGGAACACTTGTCACCTCTTAAATTCAGCAGCTGAAAAAGGGGCAGCTCCTTTACCAGTAAGATTTGATGACTACATTGCTGATATTTATTATATTATTGCCTTGAAAGTAGTTCTAAAAGGAAGAAAAATTTGAAAAGTTCTAACTGCTGCATAATACTGAAATGAGAAAAATTTTAAAGCATGAAATGAACATGAAAAATTCAGAAATTTTGAATGTATGTACACATGGCTATCTTTAAAGAAATGTTTAGAATTTTTGACTAATGAAATCCACTTCTTGAATTTTTTAAACTAAATGCCGAGTTAAGACTATTGAAAGTTATAAAATAACCTAAAGTAAATAGAGATTTAGTTACTACTTCCATTGTTAAAAATAGGTTTGAGAAAAATAATTTCTATGCAAGTGAGCAATTTAATTGGCATTTTTCAAAATAATACTGTAAAATATAAGCATAAAGTTGATACAAATTTCTCTAAAAATAAAAATAAAAAAAATTGCTCATCAAGGGAAATATTTTCTGATTACTGTAAGTATATCTTATGAAGAACTAATATTTATATTTTTTTCTTCAGACCTTAACAAAGTGTTTTACTTTTTTGCACAATTAATTTTGCCATCATTCGATGTTCTTAACACAGTTCTACAAAGCAGAACTCCATTGACTGCAAAACATTTTTATCAAAGTTTGTAAAACCAATCTTTCTTTTGTCTTTTAATTCTATATATGATGTGATTTATTGTGAAATATAAAATCAGAAGAAAGTTGATTTGCAGGAATAGGGGCTGTAACTAACAAAGTTGTTGAAGAACTTTCAGAGGAAGACAGAAATAAGTTTTATTTCCACATTAGAAGCTACTTCTGCCGACTATTTCATTACATACTACATAAATTTCCAATCAACAATAAAGTGATTTATATGCTAAAGTTGCATATGTTTCTGCTCTAGTAAATGCATCTTTTTCTGATATATAATTTCAGTTGTGAAAGACGATCTTGATGTTGCAGCTGATAAATTGTAGACACAGATTTGCAGTTTATAATTACAAATTTTGGATAAAGTTATAAAACCTGCTAGGATTAAAACCAGTGAAGTTTAGTTGGAGAACTGAAAGGGGCTTAAATAATTTTAAAATGTAGTGAACTGTCTAGAATAATGTTGGCCATTCTGACAATTCCCCATAGTAATGCAGAGCACGAGAGGATTTTCAGTGTAGTTGCAAAAACAGTCACTAAATTTAGATCTAATATTAGTAATGACATATTAGGTAAATTTTTATTAGCAAAAGCAGGCCTACTGGCAGTTGCTATGAACAAAATTATGAAGTTTTTTCCCTTAATGACAGCAACATCTGCCACTGTTCATAGCATGTGTAAGAAAACTGATTAAAGTATTATTTTTTGTTAAAAGATGCAAATAATAAAAAAAAATTTTACATGTAATAATTTTTACTTTACATTTAAGAATTAGTAACTGAACAGGTATTAATTAATAACTGTTTAAAGTTAATTCATTAAAGAATGTATTTTTATCATTTAAAAAAATCTTTTTGTTGTGAAAAAAACTCTTGGTTTTTTGAATCTCTTAGGTTGGTTAGGTTAGGTTAGGTTATTTAATTACGGCAAAGCCTCGAGGGCTATCTGCCTAAGGGGAGGGATGCCTTCGTGGAGGACTTTCTAAGGGAAACTGGCTCGTATACACGTTACATATGGGGAAAACCACGAAAACACCCATGCAGCCAGCCCGTTCGCGGGATTCGAACCTCGGACCGAACTACCAGTGTTCAACGACTTTACCGCTCGGCCGCTGGTGGGCTCTCTTAGGTTGATAAGTATGTATTTGATAGAGTTGTAGGAAAAAAGAAGAAATAAAGATAATTAAAATTTTAAATAATAAAAAGAAACATTGCAATGTTAGAGCTCAAAGGAAGGTACAGAAAAGAAAAAAAAGGTGTAAATTATGTTTAGATTGTAGTATAATTGAATAATATAGAACATTTAAAAGTCTTTAGATAAAGAGTTTATGTTCCATTAATTGATTATGGTGAAACATATGAGAGCTACCTTCTTAAAGGGAGGGATGTATTTGTGAAGAACTTTCTGAGGGAAATTGACTTGTATTCATGTTTTAAATGAATAAAACCATGAAGGCTCTCTAGCAACCAATCCATTTGCCGGGATTTGAATTTAAATTGAACTACCAGTGCTTGGCAATCTTACTGCTAAGCTGTGGTGAATCTTCATTTAAGGGAAAGAAATAATGAATTTTAAATAATATAAGAGTATTTAAATTCATAAAAACTATGATTTGAGATTTACTCACCACAACATATTTAATTGGGTAAAATTTAATTGGAATTTGGTATTGATTTTAAATTAAAGTTTCACAATTTTTTTTTCAAAATTTTTTTTCCATAATGTATAATGTAAATTCAAGTTATATTCTCTTAGAAATTATTGATGATTATCTTGCTCTACCTGCACTGATAGCTATGAAGTGCTTCTTGTTTTTAATATAAACTTTTTATCTAAATAAGACTTTTGATCAATTCATATTTAATTGATATAATTTCTGTATAAAAATAATTTTTGCTGTGTTTTTTATAAAGATTCATTTGTTTGGCTGTAATGAAATTAGCTGCTTTGGAATATAATTACATATAATTTTTAATGTGAATATATTTAATGTATCTATTTTTGAAGGTTTTGTGTAAATTTTTATGTAAAATCCACGAAGGTATAAAAATTAAGTCTATTTAAAATAAAGGTAAAATGTAATTTTTTATGGTATTGTTTGGTTTGTTGTTAATTGATAAGATTAGCAAAGAGATTAAGTCTTTAATAATAGAAATTTAAGAGTGACTGTATGAAGTTTATTTCGGCATAATATTTTATATAAATTATAATTGTAGACCAAAAGTAGCATAATTTATAATTTCACCCTTTTGCTGTTCATTGAGCTGTTGTTGTAACTCTGATGACTGATAGTTTCAGTCACAATATTCTAGCAACAATTTCACAAAATTTCACAGGAAAAATGCTTTTCGTATTATGTATTTATGTGTGTGTGTACTAGAAATTATGTGATTACGCATTCCCCTTTATCTTTGATTTTCTATATATTCTTATATACATGCATACACATACACACACATTTATATATATACAATATGTGTCTGTTATGTGTAATAATTTATTTTGTAGTAGATAACTAATATTAGATGATTACTTAATTAGGGAAGCCACCAATTCACTTTAATCATGGTTTGGAAAACTGCTGTGGAGATTCTTGGAAGTGGTAAACATATTGGTGACATCTTACTAGATGTAACTTTTGAAGAATCTCAAAATGTTGATAATTAGGAAATATCTTTATTATTACTGTATGGCATAGCACAGCACAATGGGGGCAATCCACACCCCACAATATTAATTATGACCTATTACATTTTTACTGATGAGAAGAAGTGGCCAAGCTAGAGACATCCTTTAGCTAGGGAGCAAAGGAGAATGTTTACTAGTTATAGTAGTATTTGCTAGCTTGGAAAGTCGTTGCTTTAATCCTGAGCAGTGATTGGGCACTTTTTTACAGAGAAATCCCAGGGAAAAAGTGACATAACATGCTGCAGAATGGTGCAAAGTGTATCCTTGAAGAGGGGATATGTTTAATTAAAAGTTTTGAATTTAAAGGCCTATTGCCAGTTGATTCCAATTAAGTTTAATAAATTTGTTTGTAGTTTTGTTTCAGTCTTTATACACATATATTTTTATTGTTTTCTAGAGCTGTTGTTTCAAGGAAGCCAGGATGCTATAGTCTTGCGTATGCTTTTACTGAGAAACCTGTAAACATTGGTGAAAATGTTATCATGCAAGTTCTTCAAACTGATTATTTTGCGAAAGGACCTTTAATGTATGGTATTACATCCTGTAATCCATCATATCTTGATCAATATGAACTTCCAGAAAATACAGATGATTTAATGGATCGGCTTGAGTACTGGGTTGTTAAACCAGATACTAACCATTATCGAATTGGGGATATTATTGTTTACAAAATAAATGCAGAAGGTATGTATTTTTCTGTTTTTTTAGGTATATTTATAAGGCTGATGTACTTAAATGATTTTTTTAATGCAAAGAGTTTGTTAAAATTTAATACTATAAGAGTCATGTATGCATTCAGATTTATGTAGATTGTGTCTCAAACACAGTTGAATTAGGTCAGCTTCTATACTGTGAAGTAAATTTTAAATGGAATGCCCTAAGATTTAAAAAAATGTTTGAATATAAAAAGAATGCGTATAGGTGAAATATAAATTGCACAATGTAGTCTTTTTCTTTCTTTCTTTTTTTGGTAAAATGCCTTACTTTCATTTTGTTGTTATCACCTGTAGCCTTATTTAATAAATAAAAATGTAACTTTATGCCAGACTGACATAAAAATATGTATTATAATTCATGCTTAAACTAGTTATATTATTTTTGAAATTTAAAAGTTGAAGAAATATCTCTTGTACTTTGGTTTTAAATGTATGAAAAATTAATTTTTAAGAATATAGTGATATTTACAGTTGCACATAAATTTTATGTGTTCTAACCCTTTACCAGGGCATGTAGCAGTCCTTACAAGTGCTTATCAACTCCTTATATTTGAAAATAAAGTATAAAGGCCCATATTGGTGCTTACTTTTCCTCTAAAGCACTTATTTTTGCTTTTAATGCTTATTTTTAGTTTTTAGCCCCTTTTTTTAAACGAACGTGCATTTTCTTTCGTATCAAAGCCAAAACTAAATAAACAATTTTTCTTTCTTATCTGGCATGTCAGATGGTGAATCATACTTAAGGAAATAGGCTTTTCTCCCCCTTTCTTTGCATTCATGTAACCTTTAATTTGCATGAGTACAGACAGGTGCATGTTGTTCTATTGTCGAAGAATTTGAATGAGGTGGAAAATTCTGATACATTCCATGTTCCTTTTCCTCCCAGTACCTGTACCCCCAGATTATAGGCATGCCTCTGTATGCAGTTGAACTTCTATCCAAGATTTTAATAATTTGCATTCTCATTCCAAGTGGTCAGTTCATGTTTGCATTTATTATGATCGTTATGCTTATTTAATAAGCATATGTGTGAATATTTATAATTATATATTTGCAATAAATGAAGTATAGATTGTTATGTATGTGGATTTGTCAAACACAGATAGATTACTGTTTATTTATACGATTAAATTATATTATTTATACATAAGAGAGACATTAATGCTACGTAGTCCGCAACAAGTGACGAGAGTGATGCAGCACAATTACCGTGCACTTGTCTGGGCTAACAGTAAGGTTAGAGGCACTGCCATCTATTGGTTAGCACAATAACAAATATCTAACATGCTCTTTTTATATCTAAAACAAGACAAGTGCATGTTACAAAATTAGTACAATAATTATATTAAGTCATTACTTACTTATCGGTTAACTTTAGAAACATTTTGGCAAATTGCATCTGCATCATTATTTAACAGTTGACTTTAGAAAACTTAGCAAAATTGCATACCTTGATGACTAGCTTAAATCTTTAAAATTATGATTTACTAATTAAACTGATATTTTAGAGTTATAAACATTTCATTAAATTCCATAATTAGTCCATAAAGTATAATTTTATAGCATCAGTAAGTTCTTCGTAATTGTATCTATATCAAAGAGGCTTTATTCTATTTCTGCTTGATCTTCTTAACACTGACTCAGTTGACACATTTCCTGGAATTTGAGAATGTTTAGTAGAATCACTTACCTGTTCCTTAGGTGGATTTTGCTTATCATCATCTACAAGAGCAGGTTGATCCTGTGTTGATTGACCAAGTCCAAAGAAATCTTCTGCTCTTCTGTTCCACTCTCTAGTTTTACACACAGATTTGTCTTTATGAATGTGATGTTGGTTTCTCCTATACACGCTTCCATCATTCGCTTTTATGACATCAGATCTTGGTTGAGGACTTGTCTTCATGATTATACCCTGTTTCCAAGGCTCTTTAATTTTTCCTTTGAACCATACTTTATCATTTTTATGAAGTTTTGGAAGATGGGCTTCATGTTTATTGGGATATTTCTTTCGCATCATCTGCCTTCCTTCAAAAGCTTTGCTTTCACCTTTTATTCGAAATTTTGGTTGCAATGTTTTAGAATGTGAGTGCAGGAAAGATCTGTCTTCGTCTCATTAATAATTCAGCTGGGGATGGCAAATCTTTTGCAGATTGAATTCTATAATCTAGCATAACAATGTACAAGTTTTCTCTTCTTCCGCAGTTTTTTTCAGAAACTTCTTGAGAGTTTGAACAGATCTTTCAATTTGACCATTTGCTCCAGGAAAATTTGATGTGATGTGATGCTATGCATAATACCCCGTTCTTCAAGAAATTTTTGCAATGCTTCCTAGTTGTATGGTGGTCCACTATCAGCAATGAGCTTCTCTGGTATTCCATGTGTTGCAGAAATGGACTTCATAACTGTCATTACAGCTTGAGCTGTTGTACTCTTAAGTGGTTTCAGCTCTACATATTTTGAAAAGTAGTCTATCATTAACAGATATTGTTATCCACCCAGGTAAAAGAAATCATTGGGAACTTTTTGCCAAGGTCTCTCTGGTAGATCACAGTCTAAAAGAACTTCTTTCTGATTAGCCTGTTGATTTTTCTGACATATCTCACATCTGGAAACATATTCTTCCACATCTTTGTTGATTTTAGGCCAGTAAAAATACTCTCTAGCTTAAACCAGAAACTATACCTTTGTGAGACACGTGCAGTATTTTCATTTCTTCTCTAAGAGGCAATGGCAAAACTAGTTGTCCGCAACAAATTTTGCAATCCTTTGTCACATAAAGCCAGTAAGGTTGTACTGCTGGCCTTGTTTTACTTCTTTCTGGCCATCCATTTTTTATGTAAAATAAAACATCTTGCAATTCAAGGTCTTTTTCTGCCATTTTATTTCTAAGTTTTTCAGATGCAAGTACTCCTTAAAATATTACTTTATGCATTAAATTCAAGAGCAGAGTTAATTCTGACACCGTGTTATATATGTGGACTCGTGAAAACATAGATATAAAATAATGAAGGTGCACGTTTAGTTTTTAGAAACCATTTATTTATAATCATAGAATGTATTATATTACAGTGTATTATAAATTGAGCAAGCTTCTTTATATTGCAGTAAAAAGAGATAATAAATTCTTAAAAATAACCCATGTACAGACATTTCAAAAGCAAAAAATAAAATAGTAAGTAAGGGATTAAAAAACATTTAAAAAAAAATAAATCAAAAATTTCAATTTTAGTAACTTCTTGTAAGTTATTGATCCAACTGCATGATGTTATTGATCCAACTGTTGGATGGGATTTAATTATGGAAAGCCATTTTGTTGGGGTTTCTAGAAATTATGTGTTCATTTATTTTTATACATTTTCTCATTTAAGGGAGGGGGGAAAATTACTTTGAAAGCAATTTTGCTGGTAAATATATAATTCTTTTTACAAAACTTTGAGGTATTTCTTTAAAAGAGTTCTTTAATTCATTCCACAAAACAGTTTCTTGTTATTTATCCCTTTTTCTCCCTCTTAAATTTTTCCCTTGTACTGACATTAATTTTCTTTGCATATATGTATTAAAAATATATCAGTTTTGTAGTCAATAAAAACTGTGTAAATAACCTTGAAGTATGATATGATTATTTATTTATTTGCAAACAATCAAATTTATTTTAAATGTTGGAAAAGTGTAAACAAAGTTCATAAAAACATAACCTATAATCCTCAAAGTTCTCTAATTTGCATGACTTTTGTTTCCAAGATCTGCAGATTTTTTGAATTGAATGAATATAAATTAAGTACAAAGTCCATAATCCGGACTCGTCGGGACTTCGGCGATTCCGGATTAGGCCTTTTTCCGGATTATAGGTCATCAATTTAAATCTGGTAAGATGGCATGCAGAAATTTTACAATTAAAAGTATGAAACCATAATTTATGAAATAAAGAGCGATTATGATCTAAAGGGTATCAAAATTTACAAAAAAAAAAAAGCTTAATATTTATTTGTTTACTTTTTGTAAACATTTCTATCAATGTAAGTTGTTTTTAAGTTGCTTCATTTTTTGTGCTAATACTTTCTCTTTAATTCTATAAACAGACATAATTTCTTGTTCAGTTACAAAGTTCCACTGTTCAAGTCCTGCAATTGCTATGTCGAGAATACCGACTAACTTGTCAATAAAAATTTTTTCATTTTCAATAACGTTCTCCACTATTAGAAGCGCGCATGGGTAAACACTTTACTGGCTTTACGAGCATGCATAGCGGATTCGCGCACCAAATGTGCATGCGTGAGTTTGTTGCTTTGAGGCCGGATTATAGATCATTCCGGATAATGGACGTCCGAATTAGAGACTTTGTACTGTATTATGAATTATTTTTATTATATATGATAAATAAAAAGTATTCCTTGTAGCTTTGCTCTTCTTTTATGATGCCTAAACTTAATGATTTGAAATCATTTTCCACTTGCGTGTGAATTTCTTGCTCGTTGAAGACCCTTGGCTTAGTAGGTCTTCAAAGGAATGACATTTTTAGGTATTCAAAATAATGCTGTTTTTAGGTATTCAGTGGAGTTTTGTTCTTAGAATATAAGTATGGGATCCATTAAATTGCATGGATAGTTTCTAGCTTGGCTGAGTTAAATAGTATCAACAGTACTGAAGTGTGCTTAGTAACAAATACAATTTGCATCTCAGCTTAAGAATGTATAAAATGGATTCAGATACCATACTTATAAAAGGAAAATGACTTAAATGAATGGAAATGGGAAATGACTTTGGAAATGTGTATTGAATATGCATAAGCAGAGAGCTCCAGATTAGGGAAAATATAAATATTTTATGTAGTCTAAGGATCATGTTTATGTAGTTGGTTATGTTTAAAAGCAGGAAACAAAGCAGGCTTCGAATAGAAACTTTTTAATAGTTGAAGCTTTGTGAAAATTTATATCATGGATGGTCAAAACTTTAACTACATATTTGAGTTAAAATATTCAAGAGCAAATGGATGTTTATGTCATTTTAAGAGTAGTAAAATAGTTTTAAATTCAAAAGTATGTTTCATTTAAACTAACAAGGAATTTTGCATATATTAAAATTAATGTATTTTTATGAACAAAAATTTTTGTTGCTGTTGCATATATTAAAATTAATGTATATTTTTGAAAAAAAAAATTTTTGCTGTTGTTTTGTATTTAGAAAAGTATGCTAAACTTTCTTCTCTTTGTGTATTTATATTTTTAGAATGAAAATCAGGCATTTACCCCCTATTTCCTGCTTTCCCCTCTTTTTTTTTTCTTCTTGTTTATAAATCTTAACCGAGTTTAGAAAGAGTAAACTGAAAATCGAAAGAGATAAGAACGAGTCTTTATAATAATATGCTAACATCACAAGTAAAACCATCAGTTTCTAATTAATCTTAATCCATGCACCCAAGTGTGCGGAACTGAACCCATACTGTGCAGAAAGAATATATAAAAAAAAGTTTTAACAGAACAAAGAACCTGCAGTACAGAAAATATGGAATTGAAATACTACCCAATTGTTTTAATTAAAAGTATTTTTTATTTAACTCACTATTAATGCGACAACCAAGACCCTGTCATATCCAAGCTTTGCTTGACATTAATTACAAACTGGGGCTTTGGATTCTTTTTTTTTTTTTTTTTTCTTTACTCAGAGCAGATTATAAATATATAAATATCCATAGTATTGTTAGTACAGTTTGTTGATGTTTTCATCTTTTCTGGTATTCCTTTAGTTAGTACCTGTCTTAAAAATTGCATCGCCATAACATGACGTCGCATAGATGAAATTACCTAATTATCTGTTATTTAATACTCTGCTAATTACTGTAAGCTGCACATTTTGAACTTGTCAAATTATTATATGCTTAGTATAATTAAATGAAATTTGATTGTTAAAAAACTGAACTATTACTGCAATATCTGCTGCATATTGTGTTTAAAAAAAAACCACTTGTTACAATGTAAGTTACATTTAATGAGCTAGAGAGCCATTCTGCAGTTCGGCCATGCATGACCTAGATACCTTTTGGAATGTGTTTCTTGTAGATTGAGTGATTTCATATAGTTTGGAGATCTGTAAATAAGACATCAAAAAATGTTTACTCTGTATCTGAATTTTAAATGGTAATTCCTTGTAGTCAATGATATTCATGAAATCAAAACTCAAAGAAAATTTTTCGTTAATGTAATAAGGAACGCATCAAATGCATACCTCTTTAAGTTGGCATTAAAATTAGAAGGAATGGCTTTATATTAATTCCAAAGCCTCCATGCAGAAGTAAGAAACTACATTGAATGGCCAGTTATGGGCAACATTCTTATTGTTTGGTTATACAACTAATATTCCCTTATTTTGTAGATGTGTAAATAAAATACGTTTTTAATTTTTTTATTTTGTGAAGTGACAGATTTGTAAAACCTCTTTTTTTTAATAATATTAATTACAAAAACACAATTTTTTAAATATTAGTAAATATCTTTACTACTTATAATATTAAAAAATATTTCTATATATAGTATTTGAAATTTAGTAATAAGTATTTTTCTCTTTTTAGGGGAAGTAATTGTTTTGAAGAATGATCAAAAGTCAGCTGTTTTTCATGTTGATCCTACACAGCCACTATGGCTGTTTATTAATATTATAGGCTCCATCTCAGAATTGTGGCTAGTTGGTATGTCTTTACAAAAGCGTATTCTAGAGAATGTGAATTATCAGATTTACAAGCATTATATGACTAAGACACAATAAGTTTGTTGTTTTACTTTTGAATTAAGCATTATATGGTTTTAATTTCATTGGCATTCAATTTTAATTCAATAAAATTTCATTGTCTGAGGTTCAGTTTTTGAATTTTATTTTGTAGGCAGGTATTGTATCAGTCTTTGATTGTTAAGAGTAAGTAATTTAAGCTGCAGAGAGCTTAGTACCACAGCTGTTGTACAGTTTTTAAATTAAGCCTTATATTTGTACCATTTATAAAGAAAGCCAATTGCTTGTTTTACTGCACAAATCAGTTTAAGCTTCTTGATCATTTTATGTAAAATTTGCTGGATTTGTTTTTTTTTTTTTTTGGTAGGCATCATGATGTAGTACAGTACAAAGTCCGTAATCCGGACGTCCGTTATCCGGAATGATCTATAATCCGGATCTCAAAGCCACAAACTACTTTTTTTTCCGTATGCTTTACGCATGCGGCTAAAGAATGCACATACATTATGCACCCTATACTTCCACAGTTATAACACCTAGGTTCGTTACTCTTATTAGGTATAGGGCATGCTTTATTTTGTGTGTTAGTACTTAAATAAGCCTTATTCTTCGTATCTGGAATGCGGATTTTCTCATAAATTTTTAATTCTCTTTGAATTCAGAAATAGTTTTACATCCATACAAAATAATTTTGTTACTACTCTGATCGGGTATCCCATTGATTACACATCAAGAATTGATGAATCATCAACAGAATCGCGACTGGCTATTTCACGCATGGCAATTAAATATTCGGAAAGGGATTCACCAGGTTTTAAGTGTCGTTTAAGTTTCAGACATAATCTAAATGAACCACATTTTTTCTACTTGGCATGATATTACTTGCGTAATCAGAACAGCTTGGCTTAATGATTTGTTTTTCTAACCATTCCAAAATCTTTATCAATTTCACGCTGCTCTGCGGGGGGGGGGGAGTCATGGCTCACAATGAACTGAAAGTTGATCTCTTAGCACTATCCTTATCTTCAAGGCAGATGTTTTTATTTTATTCGGCTTATAATTTCTAAGTGTAGTATTTCATCTTGATGTACTTCGTCTTTGATATGATTTAAATCACTTTCCTCATCATTATAAATATCACGAATGCACATCAAATAGTTGTCTGGTTGCAATTTTCTAATTTCGACTATGTGTAATGTATGCTTTACCCATGCTCGCATTGAAAGAACTGTTTAATAAAGTAAACAAATAAATATTAAGCTTTTTTTTTTGTAAAATTTGATACCCCTTAGATCATAAATGCTTTTTATTTAATAAATTATGGTTTTTATTTCATATTTTTAATTGTATAATTTCTGCATGCCATCTACCAGATTTAAATTGATGATCTATAATTCGGAAAAACCCCTAATCCGGAATCACCGAAGTCCCGGAGTCACGAGTCCGGATTACGGACTTTGTACTGTAGTTGTTTTTGTGTCATTCATGGATGTATAAAATAAGCCCATCGTAATAAAATACCATTGCTTCTAAGTTTGGGAATGGTATTTGACTCAAAATGCCCCCGCAAAATGAGATCTGCTTCTATTCATCATTGGTTGAAACTGGTGTATAATGATACAACAAGGAACAAAAAAAGGGTCTGACTACAGTGTGAAATACTGGTTGTAAATAAATAGTTCAAAATTTTGAATTGAACCATGGCATTGCTTCTCTCACCATATACTTGGAGCCTTAATTGAATGAAAAACGTTGAAATACAAGTGTTTTTCTCTGGAAGTTAATTTATTCCACTGACCCTAGCATTTCTCATTCTCAGCTGAATGGAGTAGCATCAGAACTCGGCTAGAAATAAAATTTCTGCTCATCACAAACATCTTTGCCTCAATTCATTTTCTTTACTTCTAATATTAAAATGGAATTAGTTGTGATATTTTTAGTGCAGTATATGGAGATGATGATTTTCTATTTAAAGTTGTGTCTGTAGGTGAAACTTTTATTTTATTTTAAGCTCAAATTAAAAATTTCATTAATGAAGTTAGAATTTATGTATACACGCATGCAAACACACGCACACTGTGTCCATTAAAGTCCTTACCCAGCTGTTATTTTCAAAACCATCGGTTGCAAACATATACTGCCAGTTACAGAAATGTAAATATTTGCCTCATTTAAAACATTTTGGCATTTTCAAATTTAAAGAAATTAATTTCATAAAAATTATGAAATTCCATTTTTTACACATTCCTTTGCCTTCTACACTTATGTAGAAAAAATTTGTACTGATTTGAAAAAATAAAACACAAAAGGTTCGACTGACGTACAACAAAAATTGATGAGATATTTGTTACAAAAATCGGAGATCAATTTTAGGGTCTATATACAAATTGAAGAGCAAAATGTATGTTATGGAAAATTAAATGTTCTTTAGAAAAAGGCTTCTGATGTTAGGAGAATAAGTGATGACAATTCTAATAAAATATCAGTGAATATATTTTTTTTCAAATTGGAAACCTTATTTATGTACAAAATTCATGTTCTAGGCAGGCTTCAGTATTTGCATTTAGCCAACCTGTAATATTGTTTGCATTGATTAAAAATTAAGAATATTTGTAATTTAATAACTTTTTTTATAATTACCAGATTATGATTTTAAAGTAGCAAAACTTCATGGGAATATTAATTACATATTAGTCTGTGAAAACAAATTACATATGTGGAATTTTTTTGGCATGCCATACGTAACAAAATTATAAAGATACTAGCAAATTACAAAAGAATACCATTAAGAGTCAAAACTTGAAGTATTATAATTTATTTATTACCCACCCCTCAATGCAAACTCAAAAATAATATGAAATATTGCAAATTTTGAAAATGAGTATCTCTGTCCATTTAAGCCTTGAATATTCCAGCCTTGAAATCCAACAGGACTGATAAAAATATGGATTACTTTGATTTGCTTTCTGAGGTTATTTAAAATTTTAAACCTTGTGTCTAGTGGCTCAGAAGCATAATAATTTATGTACTTCTTTCATCCACGAACCCCTTGATTGAGGATGCAGTGAAAGATGTAAATTTCTTAGTTCATTTCTGGTTTTGGCGTGTTCCCCCCTTTTTTTTTTGCAATTTGCCACTATGCTTCTTGTATTTTGTTTTTACATACGTTTTTTCTGAACTGAATATAGGATGAATTTTAGATGTATTTTATTTAAAAATTTATTTTTCATTATTACCACCACTTTTTGCTTTCAGTACACAGTTGGATTAGGTTTTGAACTGCTTTTTAAGCTTATGTATGTATGTATATATCAATATACGTGCATTTTTTACTTTGCTTTCCATGTTAATATTTTTAAAAATTATTTCCATGTTAATATTTTAAAAAATACTGCGTGGAACTATTTCTTGGAGCCACAGCTCCTGGTAACTTTTTAGCGAGCTTTCTACAATATTTCTTCCTATTATTTCATATTTTTGCAGCATTTTGTGCAAAATTTTTAAGACCAAATAGGTCTTACCACACTTTACTTATTAGCTTTTCAATTTCTATTTCAATTATATATTCATATATATATATATATATGTATATTCATATATCATTAGCAAAGTGACCTTCAAACACAGCTAAGACTAATTAAATGTTAATCAAGAGATTATCACCTTGGAAAATAAAGAGTTAAAACTACTGTAATTAAAAACTTCTTAATTCAAGAAAGTTTTTAAATACAATGGTTTTAATTCTATATTTTTCAAAGCGATAATAATTAAGAACTTCTGAATTCAAGGAAGTTTTTAATTACAATGGTTTAAGTCTACATTTTCCAAAGAGATAATGTCTCTTTTAATATGTACATAACAGAAAAAAAGAACTGGAAATCCAAAATATTTTAAATTCATCATTTGATGTTAGTGGCTGCTACAAAAAATGCAATTAAATAAGCAGAATTGCAAGATTCTTATTTATTTCTCGTGGTTAGCTTGCCTGGATAAATTGATTGTAATGTAGCAATTTTAAGTAATCATTAAATTGCATGCAAAATCAATTAAATATAGAATATTATTAGAGTTAAAAGGCCATATAAAGATCATCTGTTACTGCTTGAGACATCATGTGACCTACTTAAGATCACCTTTCACTGCATTGGATTTTATTGAGAGGAAGAAAAATATGAAGATTTTTCAAAATTCAGAAAACCCTCTCTCTCTAAATTCGCTTTTAGACGGCTAGAGCCCTTTCCCCGCCTTTTTGTTAAACTTAACCTTCATTGACATATGCATGCTGTCATTGTCATACACTGAAATTAATATTTGAGTAAATGGTTGAAAGGTAGTTTGAATTCAGATTTCAAGCACAAAATTTGCAAAACATTCCAAAAAGTATCAAGTTCTTAAACAGTTCTTAAACTGTGTAGGAAGATGTGATGGCAAACTAAACTTTGAATAAGTGACTTTATTTAAAATATTTTGTTCATTTACAAACTCGGTAATAACATTGCCTTGGTGTAACTTTTGTGAACAGTGTTAACAAATTGATGCACATAATACCTAAATGTTTTAATATCAGTTTTCTCAAAATTATTTTTAAGAATATCACTACTTAGATAACTATGAAAATAGAAGTTCATTAGCTACTGTATACTTATTATGAATTGCAAGAAAGTATTACGTATGTGCTTAAAAATCAGTCAATGCTGGTGTGCCATTTATCCTATTAAAATTATTTATAATAATCTTGGGAGATTTTAACCCTTTGAAGGGCATAATATATACCGGATGTTTGTCAATTTTTTAACCTCCTAAAAAATGTTAATTTTTCTACACCAAAAGCTGTAATCACAAGTTTCTATTCTTTCCTTTTGATTCTAAATGGCAGCGTCAATGCTCAATGCTCAATATTTTGTAGTTATGAAATTAATATACCTCTTTCAAAGGTATCATGTTTGAATATTCATAAATTTCATTGGAGGGTAGGAAAAAATTCACAGTCTTCAAATATATGGGAAGTTTACTAACCCTGTCCTTAGGACTGAATACAAGTATATTAGTTTCTTTTTATCGAGTATTTTTACACCACTCGAGTTTCTCATTCGTCTCTGTTTAGCTAAAATTTTAATTTCAACATTCCACCCTTTCCCATGAGAAAGGCTCGTCTGGCGTCAAAAAATGTTACATGACTGTAGGGGTTAAATGTGGCATTGTTAGCCCCCAAACACACCTGTTGTTTCATGTTTTCTAAAATCCTAGAATGCAGCGAAAATGAAAAGAGGTGATGGGCAATTAATTTGTCACACAGGGGTCATGCCATCTTCACAAAGGGACTGTGATAACATCACACAAAGAGAAAGCTGTAAAAGTACAGGAAATTGAAATGCACTTTAGGTCCACTTCTTTGTGTAATGGAAAAACTGCTGATTTGAAAACATGCTTTTATTCTTTAGGTCTTTGTTAATTTCTAATGAGAGACTAAGGAATACAAGAAAAATTTCCCCCCTGGGTTAGGAAAGAAGTACGTGGTTTAGTCTTCACAGCTGGTGAAAGGAGGGAAATATTTCTAAGACCAGTTTAAGATGCAAAATATTTATCTTTGGAAAGAAGAAAAAAAAGGGGGGGGGGGAATATTTGAGTTTTTAAAATTTTGATAGAAATAAGAGCTTTGAGGTGCATCAAATAATAAAATCGCTTAACAGCTTTTCTTCTTGAACAAAATGATATATTACAACCTATATTTACAAAAAATTAAAAAGCGCCTCTTACTGGGCCTAATAATCGAAAGTGTATGTGTGTGTGTGGGGGGGCGATTCTTGCTATCATAGCATAAAGCATACTCTTTTATATATTATCTAAAGCATAAAATATAATAATTTCAAAATTGCAACATAATTTTTTAGCCGAGTCGTAGTGTTTCATTTAAAATAAATTTTTTACTTGAGTAACATCTCCTTGTTCAGTTACAGCATGATACGGTTTCTGCTTGCAGCAATGCATGCATATTTGCTAAAATTTTTTATAAAAATATAATATTGAATTTAAATCACTTTTAAAATCTTTTCCCCCGTATTTTACATAAGTATATTCATCTGGGTAGCATCATCAAAGAATGAAAAACATAAATTTTATTTTCTAATTTTAAATTTCTAGCGAAATTTTAAAAATATTTTTTGCCTTCAGACTTACATAACTGTACATCTTTATAGATGCACGTCAAAAGTTTTCAAAAAATAGATTTAAAAAAAATTAACAATTCCCAGCTACCTGGGAAAAAATTGTCGTATAGGGGCACCGGTATAAAATATATATAGGCCCTCAAAATTCAGGATTTCACTCTAGAAGTCTCAGACCCTTAAGACACAAAATTGTGTTCTAAGGGTCTATAAGTTACAATTCATTCAAAATTTTACCATCATTTAAATTATTTTATATACCGCCCTTCAAAGGGTTAAAGCACGTGAATTTCATAGGATATGTAGCTTGTGACACCTTTTATTCTGGCTGCTTACCACTTTATCATGTGAAGTATTTCTGAATTCTTATTACAGCTTCCTTATTTTAGGAAAGGAATCACTATATAGTACTGGTTTTTTATTGACATGATGCTCAAACAGGGTTCGTAGCAGTCCTTACAAGTGCTTATAAGTCCTTATATTTGAAAATAAAATATAAAGGCCCTTATTGGTGCTTACTTTTTCTTTAAAGCTTACTTTTTCTTCTTTCTTTTATTTTTTTTTTTTTTTTAGTGCTTATTTTTTGCTTTTAGTGCTTTTTTTTAATTCCTTTGTTTTTCATGAACGCTCATTTTTTCCCCGTACCAAAGCCGAAACTAAATAAACAACTTTTCTTCCTTATATGCAATGTTAGATGGTGAATCATACTCCCGAAAATTGCTTTCCCCCCCTTCCTCTGCATTAACGTAACCTATGGTGCGCACGAGAGTACAGACAGGTGCACGTCGTTCTGTTGGCCAAAGAATTGCGAAAGATGCACGTCGTTCTATTGGCCAAAGAATTGCGAAAACGTAGAAAATTTCGGTACATTCGGTATTCTTTTCCTCCCGCCCAAATACTACACACGTTTTAATTTCTATCAAGATTTTAATAAATTTGCATTCTCGTTCCGCGTGGTCAGTTCATATTCGTGTTTATTATGATCGTTATGCTTATATTATGAGCATATGTATGAATATTTATTATAATATAATTTCAGTAACTGCTGAAGTATAGATAAACTTTCAAAAATGGGTGTGTTTTTACACAGATTTAGCTTTCTAAGGAATAATATTCGGAATGGCTTAAATAAAAGGAAAGTAATTGAATAGTCAAAATAATTTCATTTTCTTTGCCAATACATTATACAGTACGGAGGTTAGGAGTTTCTTCGCAAAATCTCTAATATTGAAGCAGCGGACTTTTTTTTTGGTCATTGTCCAATCTGGATTGAATAGGACTAAAAGTTTTTGCGGTCTACCCAACTCAAGCGAAGATTGATTCTATTCTGAAAATTTAATACAGTCTGTTGAAAATTAGAATCAGAAACACCTCAGATTAGTAAGTCTCTTTCTTTTCCTTTATTTAGTTCTTTCTTCTCCGAATACCGGCAGGTGTTGATTCCGATTGCGTAATAACACATGTGCAAGAATTACGCCGCACGTATTGAGCAATAACGTTTGCCGTATTTTGCATTGAGATAATTAATTTTGATGTTCAGTCTGAGATTTGTTTATGAAACACTTTTACTGTGCTTTCTAAGCAGAATATTTCTCAGTTCCGTTGGTCTATGTTTATATGATGCACATATCGAAATGTCAAAATCAATGTATTTAGCCGAGAATTTAAATCTAAAGAACGGCTACAATCTCCCTGCTCTTGTCTTTTTTCCAGTTACTATCCGGAATATTTGGGAATTTCCTAGTATGCGGGTTAGTTGAGCTTTTACTGTTAAAGGATGACTGCATGAAGCAATTTCTCGTCTTCTGATTTCAGAATGTGCCTCTTTTTTACTTAAATTACTTTGCTTGGGATATATGTTAAGGAAAACTGTTATGCAGTGAAAATTTAGAAAATTAGAATTTTGAGGTTGCAGAATTTTGAATATTAAATTATTAAATATTAATATGAGTGGAAAAATAAATTGTATTTATTATTAGGTTCCAAACGAATACAATTAATATGGCTTATTATTTAATGTCTATATTTTCAACTGAAACATCATCATTAAATTTTGTAATATAGTTTAGTTCTGCATAGTTTTTTTTTTTTTTTTCCCTCTCATTGTAAACTAATTCTGTAAATTGAACTGTCATTTAAAATAAAATAAAATAAAAAAAAATTGTTTTCCATTGTTGAGGTAATGCTCATTCTCTTAATAAATATTGCATTGCTCATATTTTAAATTACAAGTCTAATTTTTCTTTTGAAGTTATGCAGTTGTGTATAATGTAATTAGACAGGTGCTTATTTTTTTCTTAAAATGTGCTTGAAAAGTGCCTATAGGTGCTTATCTTTTTAACTAAAATGTGGCTATGAACCCTGTCAAATATGTTGCAATCATATTTCCTCATTGCTTTATAATGTGCAATTTATATTTCATGTTTTATATTTGATTTTCCTCTTTAAATTTATATAGAAACCTCATGTAATAATGCAGTAACTGGTCTGGAAGATCAGTTTGAAAGTATGTCAATATCTTCTGAACCATCTGCAGATATGAGTATGAGATCTAGGTCCTCAAGTAATTCATCATTTTTTGCCTTTTTTAACTTCTGTTTTGATTTATTCAATGACGCCATTGTCTGTGTAATGACATTAAATTAACTGTTCATCTCATTAATATGATGAACTGAACTTTCGTGCCTGTGATTGTTATCGTGTATTGTGTATATATATATATTGTGTATATGTATGTTATCGTGTATATATATGTTTCGTGTATTTTTAAAGCTGAAGTATTTTAGCATTTACACATTAGACATTTATAAACTTTAGTTTAATCCATCACTGCTGGCAAAATTCTCATGTTTTACTTGTTAAGAAGATAGCAGAAGTGGCTTTTATATGGTTTTAATTGAATTTTTTTTTTCAAAATTTAATGTTATATACAGGATATTTTTAGGACTGTTTTTGTGAAAATTAAGAGATTCATATAGATTAAATATGCACTTAGACTGTCATAAGTTATAGCTGTTTCTATAATTTAGGACTTAAAAATAGTAATACTGAATTTTCATTTCTTTTCCCATGATGGTACATTTCCAGGTTAATTGTAATGTTAAAGTGTTGAGGTTATAATTTTCATTACTTTCTTTAACCTTAGAATTATGCAAGTAATCATTTTGACCACAAATGAAATTGAATTTTTCATATTTTTTCATTTTATAAAATTTTTGATATTTTTTTACTTTTTAAATATATATATCAAGATGATGTAATTTATTTTGCAGTAATTGACAAAACAGGCAATCTTCTTATTAGAACATAAATTTTATTTCTAGTTCACTGAGATAGATAATTTGAAGAAATTCTTTAGTGGCAAAACTTTCTTACTACTACTAGCTGTTAAAAAACTTCAGAATTCTAATTTAAAACAATTTCTAACGTTGCTGAGCAAAGGTTACATAATACAAATATGGCATTGCCACTTCAACAAAAAATATAGTTATTTATTAAATAACAAGATATTACAATGATAAAATAATTTAGTTGTCCGGTTTTAAATGATTTATTTTTTATACATAACTATATGTACCTAGAATTATGGATAGCAATCATTTTAACTGTTCTGTTAAGTGAAAAATGAATTCAGCTTAGTGTAGCATTGTTTTGATGGTCTTTGGTTTTTCTTTTTATTTTCATGCTAGATGTTTTTTTGACAACTGGTTGGAATAGAAGTGAAACTCCCCCTTTTTAAGTGGTAATGTTCCAAATGAGTTTCATGTTTCTTGTCTGAAAGTTTTAGTATGTTCTTTTCTGTGTTCTGTGTCACACCTTCATTTCGCCTGCAAATGTTCAGGGCTTCTGACTACTTTTTTTATTTGTTATTTTTTTTCTATCAATTATGTGGAACCATGGGAAGAAAACATCTTATCAGAAGAAGATTTAGTAAAAGTTTTGTAAGCATTATCCAATAGCAATTCTGGTACAGAAATTAGTTCCTTTGAAGAATTTAACACAAATTTATTGTATTTCATCTGCTGAAGAATGGATTATTCTAATTGCAAAAGTGAACCTGTTTCATCAAATGAGGGTCTGTTATGCCTTCAAAAAGAAATTGTCATAATATTTCACTGTCTAGTCCCAAGGAAGGAAAGGAACTTTATCGTTTGCATGTTGCATTGATTCCAAAACTAAAATTCTAGCAAGAGAAGGTTATTGGGGTTAAGGATTTAGCCTTGAATGTGAATTTATTTGAGGACAAGGAATGAGTCATCTTCCAAAAAGATCACAAAAGGTGTGGAACAAACCATAGTCCAGTAAATAAGCAAAGGCAAGTTAGATGTTTTGTAAATGAAAATTGATCAGAGGAGGAAGTAATGGCAAATGATTGTAGAGTGTGTAAAAAGGAAATTATTTCAGCAAATTTTGTTGGAGGACTTCAAAATGTTTTGTGAGAAGCAAGTAGGCCAACTACTTTTGCTAAGAGAAAAGTTATTTTATGGGAATACACATAGTTCATGGAGGCTATTAATAAAGTCTCCATGAACCATCATTGATAGTTAACTGAAGCCAAATCACATCAAAAACTTGGAAATCTGAACTAGAATTAGATGCTTTTATTGCTGTGTTATATGATTTTGTGGCTGCCAAAGGACTTTCAAGTTTGTGGTCCAAATCCTGGAGCACAAAATTCCTTAGTGAAGCAATGGCTAGGGACAGATTCTTAGAAAAAATAAAATATCTACACTTCAACTTGAAGTCGACTAGATCGTAAAGATTACAAATTGGTCCATTTGCTCTTGCTTCAGAGGTATGAAATATTTTTATTGAGTTCGAAAGCAGATGGAAATATTACAATTGATGAACAATTGTTCCTACAAAGGCAGGATGCTGCTTTAGTCTGCATATTCAGGAAACCCGATAAATTCGGCATAAAATTTCGGCTATTAGCTGATGTAAAAACGAAATGCTTTGTAAATGGATATCCTTATTTTAAGAAAAGATGAAAGATGGCAAGTTGAAGAAATTGTTGATGTGCATGCCATTTATTAATTGATTCGATCCTCTTTATAACACCGGAAGAAATATTGCTATGGACAGTTTCGTTGCTTTGAATTAATTAAATATTTAAGGAATAAAGGAATTATTTATGTTGACTCAGTAGTGCAAAAAAATTGTTTTGCATAATGTTAATATTAATGGTAGATAGTACAAAAAAGAAATTGTTGGCATGTAATCATGTAAAATAAAAACTTTTTTGAAGAATTATAACCTTGTAACGAAAATAAATATACTGAACTGAATAATAACATTTTATAAAAAAAAACTTTTAAAATATGCCAGATTTTTTCCATTTTCTAAGCAATGGTCATAATAACAGCACACTAATTAGAAGTAAACAAAACAAAACAAAACAAAAAATGCCACAGTGCTAGTGTTAACTGACTTATCAATAGTAAAAAAACTCAGTTTTTATATATTGAAAATACATTACAATTAAATTTTCAATTTTGTTCTCTGTATCTGCTGAGGAGTTTCAAAGAAGGGAGAAGACTAAAACCACAGTTTAACCCAAAGGACAGTTGAAATAGAGGGAAGGGATGTAATCACAATGCTTTAATATTTTTGCATTAATTTCAGCACGATCTGTGAACTTTTTTATCTGTGTTTGTAGTAGTCAACAGATTTTTTAAAAAATCTAATTTTTTAATTCTGTTGCTTCCCAAAAAGTTTCTCAATTTGAAGAGCTATTAGGTTTTTCAAAGCAGCAAACATGAAAAATCAAATATGCCTTCACTAGCTTTTGAAATTCAGACCTTCAGATTGCCAGCCGAACATGTTACCATTTATACTATGAGAGCATCCCATAGGGAAGGCAAAAATTCCTTTTTTTCATGTCCACTTAGAAGGCAATTGTAGAGAGAGGAATGAGACCCATTTGGCCAAACTCAGAGATGAATTACCGTCCACCACAATTTAGTGGAGTTCAACTGTAGAGTTTTTTTTTTTTTTTTTTTTTTTTGAGAGTGGAAGGAAATAGGAGAAATCAAATGTACTCTCATTGAGATTTGGATTTTCTGATTGCCAGTTCACCATACTACAAGAGCATGCAGTGGGATGAGGTGAAAATTCTCTATAAATTTACTGTAAAATAAATGAATTGCTGGAAAATATTCTTACTATCCCTGCACTGCTTGCAAACAGTAGCTTTATTAAGCAAACTAGAGTTATGAAATCTTCATTTTTAGCTTTTTAAACATAGATTACCAAACAGAATCAAATATTTTGTACGACTCTTCATTTGAAAAGCTATGAAATCAGTATAAAATGTGAGTTCATATTATGAAGTAATGCATTAGCAGTCTCTTGTTGCTCAATGGAAAAATTAAATCTGATGTAGTATATGTGAAGCATGCAAGCTAGAATATGTTAAATTATTGCCTGAATGAATCTATTTTAACCCATTTTCTTGAAATTATCATCAACCATTAGAGCAAATCATATTTCACAAGTGTCTTCAGTTGAGCAGCCATATTTTACATTTTATGCAGTGCAACAGCAATATTTTAACAACTGCAAAATGTTTTTAAATTGTTTAATAATAATGATATTATTTATCTCCTCAACTACTCCTTTTTCATTTATATTATTTTCATGATGTTCAATTGTTAAGTAATAGGGAGGACTCCAAGGAATATATCAGACTGGCTTGTATTTGTTTCTTTCACAGCATTTGGCTATTATTTAAGATGAGTACCTTGTTTGTGATGATTTTTTAAGTATTTCTTAGCAGAAAACAGACACTGATTTACTTTATGATTTGACTGTGTTTCTCAGACCTAATATTTATATAATTAAAGGTCCCATATTCACTATCAATATGAATAGCTTTAGCAATAACTGGGTCATTATAGAAATTATTGCAACCCACTTGAATCACTGTAACTGTTTTACAGTTGACCTTTCTAGTCTGTAACTTATGCAGTTTAAGTTGTAATTTACTTTATCTGACAGGATTTTAGCTAGTTATTTCCTAATAGAAGTTGTGTAAAGCACAGATTTTTCACTTGCAAAGAATGGAATACTATTGTAAAAGAATTTTACTTTGCCACATCAAAAGTCTGTCTTTTGGATTTGTTTCAGTGGCATTCGTTCATATTGGTCTGCTGTGTTGAAAGTCTTTGTTCTTCAAGTTCTCGTGCTTTAGTTTCTCTGCAAGTGCAGTTGAATTGTAACTAACCAGATGCTTCTATAACTTCCTTAAAAAAAGTAGACTTATAGCTTATTCTTACTACTGATATCATCATTTTACTTCTTGTGGTGTTTCATTCTGTAGTGTTTAGCAATAACAACTTTCTTGCATATGATACATTTTACTATGATTTTTATTAATGTCTGTGTGCACTTAAAAACAGAAACCAGCTGCTGTTTAAATGAAATATAAATAATCAAAGATGTCACCAAATTAACTTTCTTTTTGTCAAAACTTCTCTTAAACATGAAACTATGCTCTGAAGTATGTAAGATATGATTGGTGGTTAGCTACGACACATTCTACAAATATGATAATTTAGCATTATTTTTGTATTAAAAGTTATATAATTAAAGGTTGAAATTTGTTAAATGTATAATTTAGATATTACAATCTAAAACTGCTAAATAACAAAATAGCTTCAAAATTTGCCACTGTGCATTTAATTACATTAGATATGTAAAGACTGAATAATGGGCAGTGTGTTAATTATGACACAAAGTCATTCATTTACAACTGCAGCTTGAGTATAAACAGTAATCATGTGCTGAGAAAGAGAGTTATTTTGCTCTCGTATAATCACATTTTCATGTCTGTGATTTTAAAAATGCAATGATCTGCTTTTATTTTGATGCATTAAATTTATTTATTTAATATTTTTCATTGCTAAGTTTACATACACACACACACAAGACTAAGGAATGAAGGAAAATAATATTTTGACTTTTCTAACAATTTTTTTAAAAATTTGCATATGAAATACTAGATTAAAACTTATTTTCATACACTGCATGTATTTTGGGTACAGTTTTTATCACTTTTTCATTCTTCTTTCTGTTTTTCAAAAATATTTGCAACAGTTAAAGAAAGTGATTGCTAAACAAGCATGTGGTTATTAGAGATAAGTAAATGATTGCATCCTTCTCAAACCAAATGAAAAAAATTGCATGGGAAAAGCTGCAAAAAGAACTGCATGTAGTTTAATTTTTTTACATATTTATTGTCTTTAATATAATTAGTATTTAACAGCATATCTTGGTTTTATCTTTCAGATCAGCAGTCATTTACTGAATGTGTCATTTGTTATGAAGAACCAGTTAACTGTGCTTTATACCGTTGTGGTCATATGTGTATGTGTTATAATTGTGCTACGAAAATGTGGAAGCCAAGTTCTACTGTCCATTGTCCCATATGCAGAGAGACTATTCAGGATGTTATTAAGATATATAGATAATTAATATTTTATTAAGTTTATAAACTTAGGAATACAAGTTTTATATATAGCATGTGAATATAACTAAAGTGACTACTTTTTGAAAAATTTTGAATGTGTAATTCTTCTGAGAAGCAGTTTGCATTTTATGGTTTGCACAATAGTTTTCTGTAAGCATTTATGTTTAATATTTACTTTGATAGCTTTTGTATTGCATATGGCTTATTTTATCGTAAAGGTGACATGTTGTATTCATAATTTGTTTATCTTTTAATTTTATTGCTAGGCAATAAAATAATGTAAAGGTTTTGGCCAAAGTTAACTAATTTTTTTAGTATCTTTAATTTTAAATTCAGATGTATGCCAGAACTGCCAACCCTCTCAGCTAAACCAAGAAACTTTTAATATTTTATCTTATTTTGCAGGCCCCTGGTAAATCCCTAATTCTCCATGTTTTAAATTAATCTCTTTACATGTAGTTTTGGACAAATAATTTATTACTAAATGTCATAAGGAAAGGAAATTCTCTGAACACAATTTTGGAAACAGCTACTTAAAAAATTCTAACTTTTTTATCATATTCAGTTTAATTTTCTGATTAATTTATCTTCAATCTGATCCGTGTTAATCCTTTATAGAAATCTGTAAAAGAGTTTATAAAGACAGTTAACATTCTGAATTTTGACAGTTAACAAAGTTCAGAACAATGAATAAAATATTTACAAAGTTAATATATTTTACTTCATAATCATATTATAGCTAGTTTTTAATCCAAATGATGTGTTATAAAGGGACTTTATGTCAAGTTAGTCAGTTTATAATGTTTTAGAAGTCATGTCGCGCAGTTTTTCACTTTTAAAGCTTGGCAGCCATGGTAGTCATCTGAATTTTATTTATTTAAGTAAGTTTTATTTCAGCTAAGAATGAGTTATAGTTATTCCTTTATGTGATATAGTTTTGTGTGACTATATTTTTATGAACATTTGAAGTGAGCGAAAAGCGACTTACATCTCTGGATGAATTATTTATGTAGAATATATTGTATGAAAATTTTGGTAGTTTAAGAATGTTTCAGCATTGATTAAATAAAATATATGTATTATAAAATTATGATATTTTCCATTTCTTTTCTCAACATACAGCTTTTATAGGTACTCAAAAATGTTTTACTGAAATATGGCTTTATGTTAAAAAGTGTGCAGAAATGCTTGTAGAGAGCTCTGTTTGAAGTGTAAAAGTTATTATCTAGTCACACTTAAAGTAATGAACACACACACATGCTTCAGCACTTTTGACATTCATGGAAGCATTTAAGCCTCTTTTGATGTCTGTCATTGTTTCAGATAACTTGAATTGTCTGAAAATTGTTTTCTGGTCAAAAAAAGCCCAAGCTTTTTGTGCTGTACTCAAAATCCATGATCAGAATTAATGATCAAACGATGCTTTAATTCTATTTGCATTGTGACCCAAACTGCTGTGTTCTGGATGATTCCATTGTATGCTTTTCTTCTTTATAAGGTGGGCTAATGTCCAACAGCCAAATTAAATTACTTCAAATACAGTACAAAGTCTGTAATCCGGACTCGTCGGGACTTCGGTGATTCCAAATTAGGGGTTTTTGCGGATTATAGATCATCAATTTAAATCTGGTAAGATGGCATGCAGAAATTATACAATCAAAAATACGAAATCATAATTTATGAAATAAAGAACAATTATGATCTAAAGGGTATCAAAATTTACACACACACACACACACACACACACACACACACAACAAAAAAAAAAAAAAAGCTTAATATGTATTTGTTTACTTTGTTAAACATTTAAGTGGTTTAAGTGGTAAGTGGTTTAAGCTGCTTCCACGAAAAATTCAAAAAGTTCCCTTTTCTTGTGTCATATATAGTGGACTTTCCAATGCCATACTTCTGGCATAATTTTGAGACAGATAGGCCTTTATCCAATTTTGCAGATATTCCACTTTTTGTTTAATGGACATCGAAACATGCTTTCGCTTTGTAGATCCTTTGGCAGCTCCAGAATTGGAAACTCTTTTTGACATAATCGAAAGTTCAAGCTTAATTTTTATAAAATTGTTCTAACAGTCTACAAAAAATAATAAGTCGGATCCAATTAGAAGATTAAGGAACAGCGCAATCTGCAACATAATCTGAAATGCCTTAGATAATTTTAGCCTAGTTTATACCATCCATTATACATTAAACGCGCATACATAAATGCATTATGCGTTTACGCATGCGCATAAAGTTTGTAGCTTTGAGGTCCAGATTATAGATCATTCCGGATTATGGACGTCGGGGTTACAGACTTTGTACTGTATTACACACGATATGACTTTTTCTCAAAATTTTGGAACAGTTGGCAATAATAATTTTGTGTATGATAGAGAGAAAGCTTCATCCTAACAAGCCTACATGTGATGTAATCATAGAACATTCAGAAATAATTGGAATTTGGTTAGGTTGGATTTCTGCTAACTGATCAGCTCCCTGCGTGAACTTGCTGGTTTCTGCATTTTTGTTTGGTTATCCTGTTCTCTCTCTCTATCCTTTTTGTTTTTGTTTTGGTTGTAACTATGAATTAGTTTTCTGTAGAGTACTCCATGAATGCAGCTTTTAGCAAATAGTCCTTGTTGACTGAGTGAGCTACACTCTTTCCTAATAAAGTTAATTTGTTGGAATTAGATTTAAAAAGCAAAATGTAATTTTAGATGTTTTTGAATCTGCTATAATATCAAGTAAGTCTTTTTTATTAGGTAATATGCACATATTAAATTTTCATTGCAAGTTGCTCGTCATAGGAAAAAATAGCAAACAGAAAATGTTTTTCTTATTGATGATAATTTTCAGTGGTCACATTTTGTGGGAGTTATAGATCTTTTGTTACATGTGAAGTTTTTCCTAATACAAAATAATTTAATAATGTATGGCAAAATTAAAACTTTAGTTTGAGAGAAGCATACATATGGTTCTAGAAGGGATACAATGACGGGGAGTTTATCATTGAATAGCGACTTACATTCTGATTCAAAATGTACCATAGCTTGGTCAGAAGAACATGATGTTTTTGTTGTAGAGCAGTTTATTCACAAGAGGTTGTTAGTAGCAAATGCAGCATCTCTTTTATCACCATTTCACACTCAGATAACAGCACCCTGTTCCTGATAAAAATCATTTATGGTTGGATGTCCTACTGTAAAAGTTCTGAAGGAGGTAATACAACAGAAAGTTACTGCTTTTATGCTCAAAATGATTTCCGAAGTTCTGGACAACTATCAAGGAAGGCTCAATCACATTGCATAAACAATGTGAGCCACCACTTGAGTGACACTTCCTTATCATCTTACACTAATATGCTTAAAAAATAATATTGGTGCAAGATGACATTATGTGTACTTTTCAAAGGTTAAAAAAAATTCATATTGTTTTTGGCTTAGATTTTATTATCATCCTAAGAGTTCTTTCTGCAGCACCCTGTATTTTCAAAGTAATTTTTTTCAAAATTTAGCAAATTCATATTAGGGTTCTTGTATGTTTTAAAATGACTTGAGTGTCATTTTAAACATGCAGTGACTTTTTTTGTATACATATCTGGTAGCCGTTTAATCAGAGATAGGTGCATTAATTATTTAATTATTGGTTGGGCGTGATGAGAAAATATTTTGATTAATGTATGGATTTCGTTAACTATCATGTTGAAAGGCCAAAATATCAGTAACTAAAATTAAATGATAAATTGTAGACAAGTTTTATTCACAATATTTATTCTCCAGAAGGTGTTTTCATTTACTCTGCATATATTTTCAGGTGATAAAACAAATTCTGTGATTTGAACTGAGATCTGATGTTGGGTGGGACAGCTTCGTCACTAAATGTTATGTTTAATAGATTACAGATTAATGATTGTATTCTTTATAACCTGTCTTTGAGCTGAGTCATATTGGGAATACTGATTGCAAAACCATTACATATGAAATAAGCACATTTTCAAAATCCTTATACTTTAGTTATATAGTGAAGTAATGAACTCATCTGGCAAATTATATAAGAGGTTCTAGATATACAAATTTATGTGCATCTTAAATTCTTTGTGATATTCTTGTGAGCATTTTAGGTGTTTAAATGATTTGGCATATGGCAGAATTGGAAACCTCTATACTTTATATTTCAGTTGACTGTTCATTACGTAATGTTTCTTCACAACCTCCCCCCCTTAATAGCAACTAAGAAACTAATGTGAGGGGATAGTACAGTGAGCACTAGTGCTGGATAGGGAGTTGCATCATATTCAACCTCATCCTACCAAGGAAATGTTGCTTGGACAATTATATCAAATTTCGTAGTGTCATGTAAAGTACTTTAAAAATCATTTTCAGAAATTATACAGGGCTAGAAGAATTTTCTGGATACATTGTGCAGTCTTTTGTTCTAATTAACTAGATTTTTGCCTCAAAGATTGTCATAATTTGGATTTGGTCTCTCATCTTTTGAACATTTCTCAAATGCAAGCACAGCTGAAAGCTTATAGCAGAATGATCATTTCAGTAGATGTACTGCTTAATTGTACCACAAGATTCTGAAGTACTGTAGATTGTAGATTCTTAGGTATTGGAGATTTGAGGTGTAGTTTTAATTGTCCTAGAGTACCTTCCTTGTCTTGAAAATAAATTTCCTCAGTAACATTCTTTTGTACTATTTACAGCTTCAAATCTCTTCCCTTCTGAAATTTCCTGACTTTATGCACCACTTTAAGGTATATATGTAATAGGAACAAATTTAGAAGTACTGATGTAGAAACGTAGAAATGCTGCAGCATATAGATGCAGCAGTGGTGCAGCATATAGATAGCATAGAATGTAGATCCATATTGAAGAGGAATTCTGGTTGTGTAAAATGCTAAGATGTTGAATCCGTAATGACTAGATAACTTGGCAGCCAGATACGATTAAATATTAATTTTTATTTCAATTGACATTTGTGGCCACAATTCACTTGGCACTTTAGTTGTGCCTGTTTTTGATACATTTGCAATAGAAAGAGGGCAGAACATACTCATGAAACTTCTTGTAATATTGTCTCTTGTAATTACGTGTAATACCGATTCAAATAACTTTAATTAACTTTCAGGTAAGATTTTTATATATAAAGTTCATATATATGCCACATATTATTAAAATAATCCCACACAATATTGGAAGCAATAAAACAAAATATCCAATATCTGCAAACCCTCTAAGGAATTCTATTTACTGGAAATTGTAAAACGTTGCCCACTTGTCGATGAAATATAAAATCTCATAAAGCATTATTATAACACTTAAGTAAGAATTTATTTCCTAAGGTGAATTCCTATTCGTATGATAGCTTATCAAACCTTAGGAAGTAAGAATAAGATAACGAACCAAGTCTTAGGAAGTAAGAGTAAGATAATGAACTAGGTATTTAGAAGTTTTCCTTCGTTTCCTAGATCTATGCTATTACGCTAAGAGAAAATTCCGTGAAACTCTCATCAGCTTTTACCACGAAGGCGAATACATTTCCTCTAGCGCACAAAAATCGGAATTTTTCCCGGCTACCGAAGATTTAGCTTTAGACATATTTTCATTGAAAAAGAAAATGCTTTTACTTGAAGAATAAGATATGTCTTACTATGAACTCTGAAATAATCACGATTACGCACATATGTATCAGTCAATAATTCGGAATTCACAGCAAACTTCGATATGTTTTAATGATATTGTAAGGATTATGTTAATTTTATTAACAGTTAAATTTTGAGCTAAACTTCCTTTCCTATCGATTCTTACTTCAACTTACCACTTCCGGCCAGAATGTAGTTTTAGATGCACGTCTGAAGGCTAATGAGCGGTATATAACCGCGAAGTTCTACAGTCTTAGCGAGAGAGGTACCAGATATTCTGGCTGCACGCGTCCGCCTTTTCAGGCTGCTCTCTCGTAAGCTATTATTACGCTTGGCCGTATTTTAGGCCCTTGATAGCTTCGCAGTCAATTAGCGTTAAGGGGCCAACTCTGTTAGAATCTTGATAACTTTGCCTATATCTCTTTTTAGTTAAGATTAAGTTTAGTTTA